GGAAAAAAAAATAAGAACCAAGAGACTCATGTAATGGTACAAGATCCCAATGATGAATGTAACTGTATTGTATACCTAAAATGTACCAATAACATTAATGGGGGAAAAAAAAAATGATTGCTCCTTTAGGTCACTGCATAAGTGCCTGAGGCCTATGGTGAGATTTGAAGAACAAATGTTGACTCCTATTCTTTAATCTAATAGTCATTCCTCATTTTTATCAATTCTTGATGTAATAATGGAAAGTGGGAGGAGGAAACTTGTGTTGAACACAATACCCTCCCCTATCCAGAGAACAGAAAGGAAAAAATAAAATCAGAGATAGGGAAAAAAAGTAATCACATTTAGATGGTGATATAAATCTTGCCTGTTTTATGCTTCAGCCATTATTGCAGTCTGTTGTTAATTCATTCATTCATTTAACAGTATTCATGTGTACCAGGCACTGTGCTAGAGTCTGGTAGTGATCAGGACATAAACCTTACCTATGGAAGTTAAATTTTCTATCTCTCTAGGAAGTTACAAGACTGCCAAGTGCTAAATAGGGGCAAGCACAAAATGTAACAGCAAACAGGAGAAGCCTACTCCAGTCATGGAAGGTAATGTTTCCTGGTAAAATAGTATCTAGGCTAAAGTGAAGAGCCAGAGGTAGAAGGAATGGGTGATTTTCTTGGCAGGCAGTTAGCAAATGCAAAATTAGGAGGTCTCAACATTGCAATGAATAGATGACACTATTGGAAACAAGGCAACATTTTTCTGTGAATCATATCCTTCCTACTAATGTTTATTTTGCTGATTTTCAGCAAAGGGGCCTCTCATTTTTGGACTTGAAAAATAGGGTCAATTTTTATTTTATTTTCCTAATAGCACAATATTGTTTTTGCCTTTATGCCTTCTACACTACACTGTAATATCCTTGAGAAAGAATTTGAGTCTATATCTTGTACTGTATTGTTATAGCTTTGCATGTGGCCTAATGAGGCACTCAATGAATGAATGAAGAGCCTAAAGAACAATAATAGAGATAATATGGTTCACTGGTTAAGAGTGCAAGCTTTTGTGACAGCCAGTCTCAGACTGAATTCTGCTCAACCAATTATTTGCTATTTGGTCTTAGGTATTTTCCTATCAGCTAAATGGGTATAATACATGAATACGTATATTCACAGGATGGTTAACAGGACATGATGCATATCAAGCATCCAGAGAAAGTATTTAATAAATGTTATATATAATCTTCTTATAAGTTAAAAACATTAAAAAGTTATTATTTTGAACATTCCCACCTTTATCTCACAGCATACAAATTTACCTTCAATGCTAGAAATTCCTGGTAGGGAGATAGGTCTTAGTTGGGCAGCTTTCTCAATTTGGTCTCCAAGAAACTGTGAAAATTTTGGCAATGGTGATGGCTTTGATGTGAAACTCTGAACTTGCTCTGTAACAAAACACATATACTTTTAGTATAATAAAATCTAACACCAAATTAAGCTAGTATTAAAGGTTATCTTCTAGGGCAATTGCATATGTACCTAATTTAAGAGAAACTGTTGAGAATTAAGTAGTAAGGTTATACATAAAATTAAAGTCTTGGATTAAGATATATATGTTTTTGGGTAAGTGAAAATGAATCAATATTACATTCACGTTTGAAGAGGCAATCCCATTAGAGTATGTTGTATAAGATTAGCACCTCTAATTAAAAAATTTGAAATCTGAAATCCTCCAAAATCTAAACTTTTTGAGTACCAACATGACATAAATGGAAAATTTCACACATAACCTCATGTGATGGGTTGTAGTCAAAATGAAGGTACACTATATACTATATAAAATCATCATCAGGCTATGTATATAAGGTATATATAAAATATAAATCAATTTCATGTTTAGACTTTAGTACCATCCCTAAGACATCTCATTATGTATGTGAATATATTCCAAAATTAGAAAAAATCTGAAATCTAACATACTTTCCATCCTAATATTTTGGATTAGGGAGACTCAAGATGTAGTACAAGTTAGTATTGTATACATTTAGATGGTAATAGTTTAAACTACCAAGTGACAACATAATACTTGAATTTGAAAGATCTTTGGACATCCTGTGAGATGTGCAGTAGATCTGGTCTGAGATAATGTGCTACCAGACAAGCTGATGCTAGAACAGTGCTGCTGTAAGACTGTATAGCATTGTGTTAGAACAAGATCTCCCACTATAGTTCTCTTTCCTACCCAAGAGAATTCAAGGTAGCTGTATTGTTTTTCCAAAATTGAAAAATACTTCTAGAAGGAGGGGTCAAGGTCAGCACAGTTGAATGCTTTTGTTATGTCCTCACAAGGCCTAAATCAATCTAAGTTAATGCATCTGCTAATATTGATTAGTTATAACCCTTACCTGGAGCCAAGTACCCTTCCACCCCAATAAGCCCATAATTATATGTTAATATAATAACATTATTTTAGGGACTAATATTAGAGGACTAATATTTATTTTTAAGTACATTTTATGCACTTACAGAAATGAAAAGACTCCCATAAATGACATTTAAAACTAGTTTAATATACACTATGACAGTAACGTTTTTGCTTTATAATTGGATGCAGACAGCATGGAGAAGTCTATTTCCAGCTAAACATTACCCATTCTTCCCTTAATAGACTAGAGTACAAATCATGTACAAAATGGGCTTTTTCTAAATGAAAGCAAAGGGCATCAGCTTCATCTCGGTGCACTCAGGCATCATTCACTTGGTTCGATCAGTGCTGCTGGAACACCTTCCCCGCTCCCTGTGTGGGAGGCAAGCTGCCCAAGCCTGCGTGAAATATTCAGAAGCCAGCCCAGTGCTCACCTTCATCTGCAGTCTCAGGAGGCCTGTTGCTCTCAGGTTTGTTTGTGAGAGCACTGATCAGCTGCAGCTTCTCTCGTAGCTTGGATACCTGAGAATTTGAACTATCTTCTTTCTGCCCAAAACAAAGATCAAAGAAGGTTTAAGGTAAAGTAAGACTTACCTCAATCTCCACTGTGTTCTTAGGGCCTATTTAGCATATAGTACTTGACTTTCAGGAGGTTTCTTCTAAAGGCAATGAAGGAATGAATCAGCAAATACTAGGGATACCTTTGGTGCTCAGTGTTGATGAGTGTCTAGCTGGACCCTTTAGGGAACATTATGCTCCAGATGATCAGATTCACTGTGAACATTTGGCTGATGGGGGAGGCATGCATGGTCAGCAGTATAGGAAATAGTACCCTTGCTCAAGTGTCTGTGAGATACCCATTTCCTAAATGAGGAGGATATTGTTTTCTAGGAGCTGTTTCACACGAACTAAATAACTGTCCTGAATCTCTCACATCACCTTGTGACTGGATCCCCTAAGGCAGAGCTGTATGCTTTTACCACCTGAAAAAAAAAAAAACAGCAGAACCCAAACAAACCACAAATAGTCCCCCAATCCTCCCTGTCCCCTATGGTGATGATTCAACTGGTGTAGCAAGTATCATTAACACAAAGAAACAGTGATATTTCTAATTCAAAGTCTTACTTCCTTATATCTTTTTTAAAAAGTTTCCCTCCTAGACTCTGCCTTAGTCCTCGGATGATCCAGAGTAGCACATAAAAATACATTTAGGTAAAAAGAGAGATGTCTGGTTTTTCTGAGGCTAGTCTATAACTGCTCACACTGCTATGAAAAGGCCCAATCCTATATTTATTAGAACAGGAGCTCATCTCACATTTCTTTTATTCAATATGTGTTTGTTTCCCTCCTACCTTTATTCCTACTCTAATAGTTATTGTATAGTAGGTCACTCGGTTTATTTAGGAAGCTCTAATATGGATATAAGTAATGAAAACTAGGTACTAAACCCTTGAGAAATTAATGGTAAGGAGAAACTATCTTGTAGGACAAAGGGACTGATAGATCAAGATGACAGTTAAAAACATACAAGGCTTGAAAGTAAAGCCAAGAAATTTAGCCAAATATGTACACTGGTATTGTGTTCTGATATTTACTGTTAAAACGTGAACTACTCCTGAAATCACTATTTTTCTAATACTATCTGTTCCTTTTTTGTGCTCAAGATTTATTTCTTGTCATTCTCTAAGTGATATTTACAAAAACTTTCAGTAGTTAGAAAACTCAAAAGTTCAGCTTATGATGCACTAAAACCTTAAATATATATGACTTTATCAGGACAATAAATACAAAGTTGCCAAGTATGAAAAAAATAACGATAGAAAGAATTACATCAAAAACTGCCTGTTCTGTGGCTCTAGTCTAAGTTCATTTCCTCTGCATTTCTCAAATGCAATGCGCATTATCAGATAACATTTTAGTCACTCAGTCACAATCTTCCTGGCTTGTCCTTTATCTTAGCCCAGGACTTAGAATATTAAGTGGTACTCCAATCAGAGAATGGTGCAATCAAACTTTCTTTCCTGGTATATCAAAGCATATCACAGGTTGCTTATTCTATATTGACAATATGTCTGGGTAGATCCGAGGTGAAGGGAACTGACTAAAATTTAAATGGACTAGGAATGTATTAAGCCTGCAATCTAGGGCTGGGGATTTAGCTCAGTGGTTCTGCCACCTGCCTTGCAAGTGCAAGGTCCCGAGTTCAATCCCTGGTACAAAAAAAAAAAAAAAAGACTGCAATCTAAACACAGGAAATGATTTTGAGGTTGGACACCATTTTTAGATTATCTATGCATCTATCCCATCATTAGTACAGATAAGTATCTTAGTTTAAAAGTCATTTTCTGAAGGAAGCCTCCCTGACTTCTGTTAACCCTCACATCATACCCTATGCTTTTCCTTTGTAGCACTTATCAGACTTATGATTTTTTTTTGACTTATGATTGATAAATTGACTTTTACTTTTGGGTAAGCCACCTGTTATTTACCTTTATAATTTGGGTTTTTATGATATTAGTTCTGTTGGTTACTTGATCCAAAGATTCTCCTTTCAGAGTGGCAGCTCTATCACCCATCTTAGAGGGCAAAAAGAACAAGAGGGAAAAATTAAAGACAATTAAAAGTTGGTTGACTTTAAAACAAGTACATTAAAACAAGCTGGTCAAGGTTTTTTGGAGACAGGGTCTCACTATGTAGTTCAGGCTGACCCTGAACTCACTACATAGCCCAGGCTGGCCTTGAACTTGCAGGGATCCATCAGCCTCGGCCTCATGAGTACTGCAATTACAGGTGTGCACCACCACACTTGGCTGGTCAAGCTTATTTAAAGGGTCTCAGACCATTTTCAACAGAGATGACAGAGTACTAGGAGAATGGGAAAAAAGGAGGAGGAAGGCCACAGAGATAGAAAATGGAAACTGGTGCCTCTGGTAGTTTCAGTAAGAAACTTTAAAACTTTTAAGTATAAAAGGCAATAAAACTATCCAGATCCAGGCTGGGCATGATGATGTCAGAAATAACAATAGGACACATGGATATTTTTCTCCCTGGAGAAAAATAAAACAGGGAGGACAGGGCCAATAAGGAGAGTTTAGAGGTGGTAAGTTTTCACAATAAGCCTTGAAAACTTTCAAGGCATAATGTTCCTCAAATCATTCAAGGTTCCCAGCTCCTATCAGCTTAGCTGAGTCCAAAAGGCCTTTTTTTTTTTTTTTTTAGTACCGGGGATCGAACTTGGGTCCTTGTGCTCGCAAAGCAGACAGCGGAACCACTGAGCTAAATCCCTGGCCCATAAGGCTGTTCCAAGTAAACCAGAAAGGAGTGGTTATGCCCACTGGCTTGGTATTTGTGGACCTTGTTTTTTTTTTTTTTTTTTTTTTTTGGTACTGGGGATCGAACTCAGGTGCTTGCGCTTGCGCAGCACAAAAGGCCTTTTAAAAATAGAGCTCCTTTAATCTTTCCACCTTTGTAGTAAATGACACACTATTATAAATCAGGAGGGGGAAAGGGAGGGGAACAGGTTTTCCTACCCCACCACTCAAAGCCATGTCTAGGCAACTTGCCAGGGCTCCTCCATGGCAGAGCCAGTTCAAATATTCCTTGCCATGTGCCAGAGTTTGACTCTCCTTTTGGGTTTGTGTCAAGCTTTGGTGGTTACTTGAATTTATAGTACAATCTTTTGTATTTGGTTTCTACTTTTTAAAAAAATAAATCCCTATGTCTGTGTATGAAATCTTTAAGGTGAGGCTTAGAACTATTAAAAATAATCTACAGGGATCCCACTATAATGTATATATGAAAGTACTTTAAAAAAAGACATTTTATTCACAAGAACATGAAAACTAGTAAACTGCAGAGTTGGCCACTTATTAGGTCATTTAGATTCCTTATAAGTAAAATGATGGTTGGACTCAATGACATTGTAAATTGATCTGGTCTGACCTGATCTGGCTTAAAAATTTCCTGACATTATATACAAAGAGCTCCTCTTAATTTGCAGATAGAAGTAGGGTAAATCTGAAAGCCAAGTTCAGGCTTAAAGAAATGGCAAAAGATTTTTTTTGTAATGGTCACTGTCATTGCTCCCACTTCTAATACTTTGAGAAAGAAAATATCAAAATGCTCCTTTGGAAATATGTGCCAGAGCCTCCTCACCAGATGGACCACTGCAGCACAACAGACCTGTCATCTCTGCCAACCACTTGGGGTGAGGCCTTGGCAAGCATATTGACCCCTCAATATCTCCCTTTCTAAATCTGGATTGGCACTGCTTATGCTATTCACATCACAGAACTAATATAAAGATTAAAGGAGACATGGATTAAGCATAACACAAATGTGTATCCTCTCAAATATGCCAGAAGACTATTCTCAAAAGGTGGTGGTGGTGGGCTGGGGATTAGCTCAGTGGTTTCACCGCCTGCTGTGCAAGCACAAAGACCTGAGTTCGATCCCCGGTACCAAAAAAAAAAAAAAAAAAAAGGTGGTGGAATGTCACCTAAGGACAGACAAACACAGTGCAACACAGATCATGTCACAAAAAAATCTGAAAAGCTTACCATGCTGGAGGTCAGGTTTGCTCTCTTTTTTATCTTGTTCAGAGCAACCATATCACTTTCTATCAGGTTGACTCTTTGGGTAACATTACTGAGTGTTTCATTCATTTCCTTAAGTTTAAGATCATTCTGTCTTTGGTACACCATTAGGGCACCATTTACCTCCTCTAAAGAGTTATGAAGGTACAGGATATCCTAGAGTGGAAATAAAGCAAGTTGTAGAATCCAGCTAAAGATGCATATTAGGCAAGCAGGCAAGTAGCACCGAACTGTGTCAAGTTACTGAAGCAAACTCCTTTTCCTGGTTGTGATCATCAATTGTCTGTCTCTGCTTTGTCCCTCACACTTTAAATTGTTCCCAGTTTACCCCCTCTGGAGTTGTTTGACCTCAGACAGATAGAAGGGAAAAGAGGGAAGAGGACTACCTACATAATTCTCTCTCTGGTCCAAAAAAAGTGAAGAGTTTGGGAATCGATTACCCAGTGTTTTCCTCACTCACTGGCAGGAAAGCCTGCTGGGTTATTAATGGAAAGTCCCATTAACCTAATTTGTCAGAACAAAACTACCTTAGGAACAATACCAATTACTGAATTAGCTTATGTAACAAAACTATAACAAGTAGTGCATTATTTAGTACAAGCTTCAATTATTTTTATTGACATCCTCTAGTACTGATTGCTACTTAAAAAGGAATGATGACTATTGGGTTTAAAGGGCATTAAACTCAGGACAGAAATTCTTCTTAGTGAAGATTCCTTTATTTTCTTTAATGTGATTTTGAACTCATTATCCTTTTTTTCTCTTCTCTTGTCTTTTGTCTTTAGACTTTAAAAAATCCCAGTTTTTAAGGATATGTCTCTTAACATTCTTAAAATTACTGTGGTTAAAAATAGCCATCACTCTGGAACAACCTGCTACCCATCCATCTTTGACTTGCCCAGACTGCTATTTTTCATAGTTTCAGGATTATCTAGTCATTCTGTCTTTCAAGATGTGAAAAGGAATTTACTCCACTGACTGTCATGCAGGGGAAAAAGCAGAGTGTCGAAGAAGAGACAGCGTGGCTTTTTGGATCCCCAAGATACCTATACACATCTCTCTGTGCTAAGCTTTCAGGCAAGCAAACAGATAGATGAGCACACATTGAGACACCATAGCATTAAGCCCAAACTCCTCAGGTGGCCTTCATAGCCCATTGTATGTACTATATAATACATAAAGACACAAAGTACCTGTTTAAAATTCTCACTGTGGGTTTTATTGTCAAGTTCTGATGTAGCTGAAGGTGTTGGAATGATCTGGTTGCTTCCATTGGTCTCCTTCAAGAAGTGCTGATTCTGTTAAAATGGATGGAGGTTAGTGCAGGGAGCAAGTAATTACTAGGTCTAGTGCACTGCATCCATAGATTTAACTTCAAGTGCCCTATGCACCTATAGTGTGACCAGTCTTGTGCTAGGCCTTGGGGGCACCACAAACTTTTGGGGATGACCAGCCTGAAGGAGAGAGGACCAGTAATGCTCAGATTATCCCAGGGAACTGAGAACCTCCTAGTCTGCTTCTCATAATGGAATGAACTCAAAAGAAACATTTCTCTTTTCCCCTATTACCTGTACTCTCAGAGAAACTGAAGAATCACTAGAATGTTCCTATGACCAACTCAGTCTGAACCTGGGATGGTGCCATCATTTTTACTAGTCCAACAGAGTTTCAACATCATAAGAGCAACCAGTCATGAAACCACTGGCATCAGGTATTGAACACAACCAACAATCATGCATATTCTAGTGCTTCCCTTACAGCACATGCCAAGATCTGTGCTGGAGGGTTATCCTTCCTTTCCCATTCCCGCTCTACTACTCTAGTCTCTCTTTGTAGAGATGGAAGTATTAACATGCTTATACTCTATATATTTTTCTGCATTAGTTGGAAAACCTGCCTGTCTTAATCTTTCACTGTCTTTATAATTTAGTATAAAGTATGTCAGTATTTGGTTTTCTGTTGGCAGTCATGGACGTTTAAAAGAGGTACATTTAATTGCAATAGAATGTAATTGGTAAAAACAAATTGTTTTCCTTGTAATGTGAAATCCTAAACATTTACCAAACCTGCTTTTATAAGAAACAAAAGCAGTATTAAAGAGAAAAGGAGGAAAAACCCATGATTCTGGAAAGCAGGGATTTTTCAGTTGGGAAAAGGCATTTCAAAAAATGGTTCATTACTTGAGAACATAGGTAAGATGAAAGAATTGCTGATCCATAGGGGTCTTTATTATTATGGGTCATGAAGTTACACAGTGGCAGATTGAACCAGAAACCAGGTGTCTGGACACTTAGATCAATGCTTTTCCCTACAAGTGAGCCTCTACTAAGTAACAGGAGCAATGGTTCTGAAGAAAATGAAAATTCCTCCATCCTAGAGCTCTCTTACAGAGCTCAGTTATCCTTGGTACAAACTTCCCAGTTTAAAGTTATAACTCTGCGAGAACATGAGGGGCAGATCTAGAAATTAATCAACAGGCTAGGGAACTTTTATGTGCCTCGAATAGTACTGATTTCATGGACTTGTAACTCATCTTTCCAGAAAGACAGCAAGGACTGTGCCATCCTTTTTCACTCTACATGAAACTTTCAGAAAGCTGTTACCCATTGATTAATTAAGGTCTCTGAATGACTGTGGACAGCTTACATCTGGAGTAACGGGAGATCCAGAGACATCTGAAAATAATTCCTGGGGACTTCAAGGTTTTGCTTCTGTCTTAGCTGTCTGTCACTGCATAGCAAATTGTTTGTAAACTTTAAGGCTTAAAATAATAGTTAATTATTTCACATGATTCTGTGGATTGAACGTGCCAACTGGGTGGGGGTGTTTCTCCTATTTCATGTGCTATAGGCTGAGATCACACATATGGCTGCATTCAATTGAAACCTGGCCAGAGCAGGAACATTCAGTATGGCCTTGTATCCTCCAGATCATCTCTTCCCTTGGCCTTTCAGCACTTGGGAGTAAAAGAGCCCTCCATAAGTTTCTGATGCTCAGAATAGTCAGAAATCAGAACTTGTTCTGAGGTGGTCTGTTAGGTAGCACCAGATAATTGAGACAATTATTCACTTTTCTTTCCTTCTTTTCTATTTTCCGTTCTACTCAACTCATTCCATCCTCAATAACTGTTTTATCATCATCTCCTCCAGTACCATATTTGCCAGACTCTGCTTTCAATTCTAATTTAACTGCTTAATTTACAGACTGCAGAACAATCAGTACATATTACTTATTAGATCTTTTAAACAGGTGCATAGTTTGTCCTGTTACGATCACTGGAAAGTTGGCATCATAACTCTTACACAGAAAAGGGTGAGCAGGAACATGTTGCCTTTCTGTAGCATTTACAGACTTCCTTACCATTTCACTCTGCAGTAATTCCATGGTTTTTTTGTGTTCATCCACAGTTTTCTGTATTGTCTCCACAGCAAGATGCACGCTGTTTAAAGTATTGCCAATGGAAGCTACACTCTGAATGGAGAAACATGTAGGAATGTCAAGTTTTTTTCCCCTTTTAAAAAGTTTTATGAAGATGTGACATGCAATAAGCTGCACACATTCAAAATGTATAATTTGATTATTCTGACATAAATACATCTGTGAAACTATTACCATGATCAAGTAAACCTATAAATCCTCTCTTCCTGTCTCCAGGCAATCACTGATATACTTTGTCACTACTGATCAGTCATATTTTATAAAACTTTACATAAATGCAACCAGTGAGTATGCATTTTTTTTTTAGTATGGCTTCTTTTGCTCAAAATAAAGAGAGATTCATTAATGTAGCTACTTAGCATGCTTCATTCCATTGCATGGATATATCAATGTTTATTCACCTAAGGGACATTTAGGTTGTTTTCAGTATTTACGATTATAAGTAAAACTGTTATAAACATTCTTGTACAAGTCTTTATATGGACTTATGCCTTTATTTGCCTTCATCATATGCTTTCTCATCATCACAATATCTAGGAGGAAATGGCAGATTATATGGCAGATCTATGTTTAACTGTTTAAAAAACTGCCCAACTGTCTTCTAAAATAGTTATACTGTACATTTTACAGTAGTATGAGTTCTGCCAGCAGTGTAAGAGTTCTCATTATTCCATACCCTCATTAATACTGGTATTGCCAGTTTTTTCAACTTAAGTCATCAGTGTTATATTGTTATTTTAATTTATATTAAGCACTAACCTAATGTAGATCAGTGTTTTTAATTATTTCAAATATCTTCAAACTATGAATGCCATATAACTTATAGTGAGATAATTAATAAGAAACATTCTCTCTCTAGTGTTTGTTTTATTTTTTTTGGTACCAGGGATTGAACTCGGGTCCTTGCGCTTGCGAGGCAGGTGGCGGAACCACTGACCTAAATCCCCAGCCCTCTCTAGTTTTGAATATACACACATACACCAAGCAATTCTCAGTTTATTTTATTTTATTTTTTGTTTTGTTTTTGGTACCGGGGATCAAACTTGGGAACTTTTGCTTGTGAGGCAGGCACTGGAACCACTGAGCTAAATCCCTGGCTCGAAATTCTCAATTTAAAGAATGTTTCCTCAAGGAAAATCATGTTCTCTAAAGGAAAACCAAATGTTCTTAAAGAAGAGATATTAGTTATAAATGTGGGACCTACAATAAAGTTCTCCTATAAAATACTTGTGTCAAGACCTGTGTGGGGAGGCAGATGGCCAGAGTCAATAGTGCAGACTATCACGGATCAGGAACAAATGACAACTTTTGAGGAAAAATGGGTGGCAATAATTTTTAGCTTTAAGAAATTCAGCATTACAGAGAAGGAAAAATTCCACTTGGCAGTGTTTCCTTTACCGTAGACTCACCAGTAATTACTGTGTAAGGCTAGACATGGGGAGTAACTTACTTTGCTTTCGTTAGACCCAAGGAGGCCAAGTATATGGGGAATGTGATTCAGAAGCCATTTTTTTTAAAAGTCCTGTCCTTAAGGGAGTACCCAAAAGTGTACTCCTGGTGGGTTCTGGCCTTTATCAAGACCTGATGGGATGTGAGGGCGATCTGGCTGCGACGTCTGTCACCAGGGTTGATTCAGCTGATTTGGCTGGCTAGGCGGGTGTCCCCTTCCTCCCTCACTGCTCCATGTGCATCCCACCCAAAGCTGCGCGCTAGGTCGAAGAGGATGACCACCCCCGATAGAGGAGGACCATTTTCTTGGTCAAGGGTATATGAGTAGCTGCGCTCCCCTGCTAGAACCTCCAAACAAGCTCTCAAGACCTGATGACAATTTATAGTGGTAATTTTTTTATTACACTGATATATAAGAAATTAAGAGAATAAGAGATAACATTTTTAACTAAAATTAAAAAGAAATTACATGATATCCTTTAAAGTTAGGTGTTTGGGATGGCTTAATACTTTAAAACTGAGCTCCCTGTAATAAAAGCAGTGTGTGGCATCATCAATGCACAGATTTGCAGAGACCACATACCGGGTAGAAGTCTCTAAGCTGGGATGCTATGTAAGCTTTGTTGTTACATAAGCTACATTCAAAGACATGTACTGTTAGAGAATCCTCACTGGCTGGATGTCTGCACCCATCAGGATGCATGAAGATAGTAAGCTCTTGTTTGGGAATTTTTTTTTAAAGGAAGCAGCTGACTGAGTCTTGGAAAGTCTGGAATGATACTCTGACACTAGTATTCCCAACTACAAAGTGCCTGGTACATACTACAGGAGGCTCCACAAATGATTATTGAATTAATGAATGCAAGAACAAATTAATTTCTTTTTCTAATACAAGGTTGGCAGAGTTGCTTCTGTAAAACTACAGAGGCCTCCCCATGGCTAGCTACAGATGCCTACCTTCTTTTTCATTGGTGCTTGGGAACAATGGCAAGAATCTGGCCTTGTCAAAGTTGTTCCCCCCCTCTTTTTATGTTGAAAGCAGATGATTATATTGGACACAAGGTGAACTACAGATACTGAGTATACATGTATACTGTAACTATAAAATAAGAAGTTTTAGTTTTGTGGTTTCACTGCTCTAAACAACTTATGTTTATAGATAGATGGAGCCTGGCATATAATCAAATCAAACATCGCACACTAACTTTTTTTTTCTGAGACAGGGTCTCAGAAAATTAGTATGTAATTCAGGCTGGCCTTGAACTCATTATGTAGCCCAGGCTGGCCTTGAACTTGTGGAGATCCTGTCTCAGCCTCCTGAGTACTGGGATTATGGGCAAGGGCAATCATGCCCAGCCATGCTAACTTTCAAAAATCAAGGATCCTAGACTTAATGTCCAGTATTTGGGGTTTTCTAACTCCTGAATTCCTTCTTTCTGCTGTAGGAATGTTCCTTGTGTTCATTTCAACACCACCTTTTCCCTTACAACTCTTATCCCCTCTCCTCATGCAGCTTTAAGGATTCCCAAATATTATCCATCTGCTTGGTTTTTGCCTCTGGCTCTAGGCCTGAATCCTAGGAATCAACTAAGCAGAAATTCCAAATGATTGTTTGCCTAAGCTCCAGAGTCTAAGGTAGACATCCGTGAGTGAGCTGCTTACAGGATGTGCGTGTTCACCTTGTAAGAATAACAAATTGTTTTCCAAAGAGATTTTTTCCAATTTTTACTCCCTAGCAGGAGTGTTTGAAAGTATCCTTTACTTCATACACTTGCAACACCTGTTACTCAAATGTTTCATTTTTACATTTTCCTTAAATCATTGTTTTTTAAAAACAAAAAACAAAAACATCCCAATCTTTTCTTAACCCTAAAAGAAGAAATTAAGAGCAATTCTCATACATAATTTATGTTCTTTTTTGAAGACACTGTGAATGACAAATTGAAAAGGAAATTGTTGAAAAGCAAATCCATATATGCTAATATAAGAGTTCCAACAGAGTAATTTTGGGACTCACAGAGGCAAATAAAAAAGTGTGAACTTGCCGGGCATGGTGGCGCATGCCTATAATCTCAGCACTTGGAAGGCTGAGGTGGGAGGGATTGCTGCAAATTTGAGGGCATCCAGGGCTACATAGTGAGTTCAAGGCCAGCCTGAATTACACAGCAAGACCCTGTCTCAAAAACAAAAACAAAAACAAAAAAAACTATGAACTCATAATGCATAGCTAAAGTAACCTGATGCAAATTAATGGCCCAAATAACCAGACCAAAAGAAAGATGCTCTGAACTCTTTAGAACACAATGATATTCTCTATTACTGCCCTCTCATGGCAGCTGATTTCAAATGTCAGGCTTTCAAAGAAAACTTGTAAGAAGCTAGAATTTAAGGAGTAGGTTAATCTCAGTGCCCATACTTACCTTCTGAAGTCCCTCTACAGTGTTAGGCAGGCTAATTAGGTCTGCAGCTGACTTAACATTGGCTTTGAGGTGGTTTACTGCAGAAGTCAACAGAAAAATCTGGAAGGGAAAAAGGAACAAGCAATGAATACAGACTTTATAGAGTATATGCTTCTTTCATAAACTCTGTGGTTGATGACGTCAGTGTACCCTAGCAGCTCACAGAAGGAGAGGAGCTACAGTACCTTGGCTAGAGCTGAGACTCAGAAGGTAGCATTAATATCCCTTCTTTCCCTGCCCAATTTGAATTAGTGCCAGAGAGGGAAAGGCAAGTATTATTCTTTACCGTAGTCCTGGCAGCTACAAGGTCCAAAATCTTAAATTACCCAAAAGATGTAATAATTACCATACAATCCTTCAACAATTGAACAGGAAAAAAGCTAATGATCAAGGACCACTTCAAGACTTCATTTTGGTAAAATATAACACCTCAGTTATTTAACTGAACTTTTGTTCCTATCCAAGTGGGAACATATTTTATAAAGTAAAAGCCCATCATCACAAAATAAGAGTCTACATATACTATATCCTGACAACTTGAACAGCACTTTCAACTGCCTGGGGATTCTGTTTTGGTTTAATAATGTGATTAATATTTCAGACTCAATAGCTCAACCAAAGTACTACTTTGTACCCTGAAGGGTTCAATAAATACCCATTGACTCACTGACTGATGCAATGAATGTATTACAATAGGAACTGAATAAAAATGTGGCTTCCTTTCTGCTACTTAGGGGTAGAATTTTAAAGAGCTGGACTTCTCCCTTGAATGGGGGCTAGGAGAACCTGCATAACATTCAATTTGGGCCGCAAAGATCATATTCTAACAATTCTCGCAGTGTGGCTTAAAACACTCTTCAAAGATTCTCAGTTCCAAACTGCCCTTCTATTCCAAATCTAGGATGAGAACACAGATCTAATAATAGCAATTACAAGAGTGGCCTTGTAGAGTAACCATCCCAGTTTCTGGGCACTTGCTATAGGCCAAGCACTGCAGTAGGCAGCAGACAGACATCACACCAAGTAGAAACTGATTTCCTATCACTCTCTCAACAAACGCTTGGCATCTTTTCTGTGCCAGACATGGCTCCAGGCAACGAGGAGACAGTGGCAAACCAGACCATGAGGCTTTGCTCTCACGGAGCTTATTCCTAATAGAAGGTGACAGAAAAACAAAGAATCAGTAGTAAGTACTATGCAAAGAACTTAACTAGAACCACTGGGGTGAGTGGCAGCTCAGTCTGGACAAGGGAGTCCAGTGGGGAAACTGGTAACTCAGGAACTCAGGTTCTCATTTCCTTCTTTCCCTTTAGGAGGGGTAAGTTCAGGGGCTTAAGACCATTTTCATTCATTAATGCAACAAATATTTATCAAGCCCTATTATATGCCAGTAGTGAACAATCAAGAATCTTCAGGTGCCTATATTTCAGACAATTTTATGTAAGAAAAACACCAAGTGGCAGGAAGAAGTAGAAGAAAATTAAAATAAGGTGATCTGATAGAAGTGACTGGGCAGCTACTTCAGATCAGAAAGTTAGAGGAGCCGGGTGTGGTGATGCATGCCTATAATCTCAGCACTCTGGGAGGCTGAGGTAGGATCACAAGTTTGAGCCCAATCTGGACAACTCAGCAAGACCCTGTCTCAAGAAAGGGCATGGGGATGTGGCTCAGTGTGAAGGCCCTGAGTTTAAAGCCCAGTACTGCAAAAAATAACACCCCCCCCGCCCCGTCCCCAAACATCACCAAAACAGAAGGTCAGAGAAGGGCTCTGTAAGGAAGTAGAATTTAAACAGATTTATATAACAAGGAATTAATCATACAAAGATTGGATGAATACTTCAGGGCAGAGGAAATTACTAGGGGAATTAAAAGAAAGTGCTTCATATATTTAAAGGACAGAAAGAGGTTCAGGTGGCAGAACCTGGCTAGAGATACAGGAAAGGGCTAGAACCGTCAGAAAGGACTTTGTAAATCAGAACAAAGACATGGATTGTATTCAAGCTGTAATAGCAAGGGGTGTAAGGAGGATAATTACATGATTGCAGATACCTTGTATAACTATTACTATGGCTGTTTTGTGGAAACAGGAGACCAGAAAGAAGCTGATTTGGATAGTCTGAGTAAGAGACAATGGTGGTTTGGAGTTTACTTGTGGCAGAGGTAGTAGCAGAAGTTGACATGACATGATTTTCTGGAACTAGATATGAGGGGTGAGGAGAAAAGAATTAAAGAAACTCCTAAATCTTTCACTTCAAGGAGCTGAGAGAGGGCCCATGAAAGAATTAAGCATAAACTGTGATACCGGTTCTGAAAAAATGATATTAGTGAAGGTAGAAGGGGACAGGCTTTATTGAAGTAGGACTCAAATTAGACTCTGATGGCAAAGTGAGTATATACAAAAATAAAGCAGGCAATCTTTCTAGGTTAGAAGTATAAGAGTGGCATTGGGGAATGTGTAGGGAACAACAGCATCATAGGTTCAGCAGTACTTTTTCTACACTTCTCAAAGTGACAATGATTTATTGAAGTTCCTCTCCTCCACAAGACTGTAAACTCCATGTGATCAAGGACCATGTCTGTTTTATGTTCCACAATATGTCTTCCACAAAGATAGAAATTCAGTAAGCATTTATTGAATGAATAGAAGAATGAATGGCTAAGAACTAATACTTGGGATGGATACTGAGGTGGCTACTCCCAAGCAGAATAGAGGGAAAGGGCAGGAGGTCAGAGATAAAGTTAAATAAGTATGAAGTTATTTTTATCACCATAGTGCTTTGACTATAGCAACAACAACAGCAATAGCAACAACAACAACAACAACAACAGTTTAACAACCACTGCAGAGGGATGTGTGGTGGTTTGGAAAATATATCTACAAATTCTTTAATAGTTTTCCCTTTAAGATGAACTTAATTCCCTTCCCCTTGAGTATGGTCTTAAGTGACTTGCTTTTAGTGAAAAGAATAAAATGAAAGAGACAAAGGCACTATGGCTACTATGGCTTCTCTGCTTTTACCCTAGGGAGGCCAGCTGTCATTTTGTGAGAAAACCCAAACCCTAGGTTGGGAGGAACTGAAATCTCTTGCCTATAGCCATGTGAGGACCTGTCAGGCCTATTCAAGCCTTCAGATGAGGAAGCGCTAGCTGATGCCTTAGTCTTAGAGATCCTAGCCAGAAGCTTAGCTGGTTCCCAAATCCTGACCTACAGAAATGGAAAGAATAAATGTTTGTTGTTTTAAGCCACTAAATTGTGGGATGATATGTAGCCCAGCAACAGATGACTAATACAGGTTATAAGAATGAAATGCCATATGTAACTGGAGCTCTCAGCACAGTATCTCGTACAAACAACATCAAGTTTCAGTTATTAGTAGTGAAATTTAATGAGCACTTAAACATGTAATTCTCCATAAGTGCTCTAAAATGTGCACACTACTTATCAACATTTTAACTCTATCCCTATAAAAACAGAGGTGAAAAACATCAACCTACATTCAGCAAGTTATAAACCTCTTAAAGCTAGTAATTACACGCAGGAAATTTTCACCTATCCCTTTAAGAAGATATGAATAATATAAAGGTTTGAAAAAGACATAAGGAAACAGGCATTCTTATGGATTGTTTATGGGAGTATAAATCAGAGGAACCTTGTTAGAAGTTTATCTAGAGGTATCCTTCAAAATTTGAAGTGTTTATGGTCTTTATTCAGCAACTTCATTTCTAGAAATCTATCCTGACAGACTTGCTTGTGTGTACAAAGATATATCCGCTAGATATTCATATTTTCTTTATTTGTAATAGCAAATCAACTAGAAACAATCTATTATTACCTAGGATGGAGATATATTTGGTGAACAAAGCAAGTTGCAGTACAACACATACGGAATGACCCCACTTATTTATATACACAGGCTAAGCCATAAGCTAATTCACATTAAAAGCTATTATGGTTTTGTAAATAAATAGAGGATTGTAAAAGTGCAGCCCATATTATAGACAGTGGATAATGATGAAGATAGCACAAAGGACCGAGGGGGGAGGTTGGGGGCAGATAGATGGGGATGGAAGAGGAATTTGCATGAGTTCTACACTACTTATTTAAATCTTATATAAGAATATATTTACATATTATAAAATTTTAAGACAAAAGAGGAGAAAAAAATACATGAAAAAAATCCCACATAATTTTGGAAGGGTTTTGATGGGTTTCCTTGGGTTCCCCTTTCTTCCAAGTCATCCTCTGGGCCTTCCAAGACCACCTGAACATGCCCGTAAAGTGGTAGGAAGGGGTCTCCCCCCAGTTATGTTTTATTCATTGCCCCAAAGTATGTATATAATTGGCTCAAAATCAAGTTGAAGGGCCGGGGATTTAGCTCAGTGGTTCCAGTGGCTGCTTTGCAAGTGCAAGGTCCTGAGTTCGGTCCCTGGTACAAAAAAAAAAAAAAAAAAAAAGATACACACATATATAAAATCAAGTCGATGGACAAGAATTTAGTTACTCCAAATGCTCTTAATTGTGTAAGTACCTTTGAGGCAGCTTGAAGCTAATGCAGGCAGGATCAGGTGAAATATGTTCTACCTCTCACCATGCTATACTCAGTCTAGGCTTTAAGCTGCCTCTCTGAAAGAGTATATTGAAGAGAGCTGACCATTAACTCTGCAGCTAACCAACATACTTAAGAGCTTCTTACTCCTAAGTCCCAGATCATACAATGGTCACTAGGACTCAGCTATATTTCCATATATTACAAAGCTGGATTCCATCTTCCAGTCTTCCTCTCTTTAATGCAGTAATGGCAACATCTGGGAAATTACAGCAAACCCATGTGCATAACTGGAATGGAAAGATGAAGGGCAGCTTCCCATTACTGTCTCTGGAACTGTATTGGCCTCTGTAACAGGTACATTATAGAGTGTGATTGGAATCAAGCTTTACAAAATGTACGGCTAAGAGTCACTTTTTGCAATTTGAAGAGTCTAAGAAGTTGAATTAAATAGAAACCATTAAGAAAAAAACTCCCATTCCAGCCAAAAGATGAATCATGACTTTTATGAAT